AGAGCCCCCTGCTTCTCCATTTGGAAGTGAGAGAGAGAGGGAGAGAGAGAGAGAGAGAATTATTTGTGGAAACTGACCCCAGCACAAAGAAAGAAAGAAAGAAAGAAAGAAAGAAAGAAAGAAAGAAAGAAAGAAAGAAAGAAAGAAAGAAAAAGTTACTTCTTCCCCTGCTTCCCATATACTCACTGTAAGAACTGATCACTATAAAATGTTAGACACAGTGCTATTTGGCAATAATCATAGTCATCACTCTCAATGTGTCCCGCCAGCATCTCTCTCTCTGTCTGTCTGTCTAGGTCAGTTTTCTGGCTACCCCTTGAAAGGGGACACAGAAGCTTTCGCTTCTCCAGCCAAAGATTCACCCACGCGGGGAAGAAACCACTTCGAAAGGGAGTCACAGAATATTCACAAACACTCCCGACTGGAGCGTCCTGCGTTCTAGCTGAACGGCCTCCTTCCGCATGTAAGGGTATTCTAGATTTTTGGCTGGAAAGAGAAGGGAAAAAATAATAATAATCCAAAACTCATGGAAGATCTAGCTTTTCATCCTGTGCCAGCGGAGATCGGAGACACCAGGTGACCCTCGCCCGTTTTGCCTCTTGGTGATGTTTGGGTCATTTCTCGTCCCCACCTTGCCCAGTTTTTCTGCCCTAGAGATGCACGCCCGGATGCCTCTTTGGCATCGCCCCTCGTTTTCCGCAGCTCCGGCCGGCCCCTTGACCGAAATCCACAAATTAATCTATTAAGTGTTTCCTCTGATGGCCTCTAGGTTCTTGTTTATGCAGCTGACTCCGGAACAGGGAGACTGGACACCTCTCATTGCTGAGCCGGCCGCAGCGGCAAGGAATTCTCTCCCCGAATAACTGCTTGGAAATGTAAGAAAAGAAGAGCTGGAATCGGGAATCGCCGACCCGCCTGTCTCCTTTGGACTTTGCCTGTTCTGTGAAGTTCCTTCTTCTCTCTCTCTCTCTTTTTTAAATTGCAGAGTTTTGGGGAAGGGCTTCCCCAAATTTAAATCAAGGCGCACCAGCGCTCACTCTTACCTGAGATGGAAGGAAGGGGAGGAACCGTTTTGCCTAGGTTGCCCAAATGATATCATCACTAGCCACTATTCTGTAGGTCTCACTTTTGGCGCAGGGCAGATTTCACGTCGTCAGGCGTGTAGGGGGAGGCACGTATCTGTCCTGCCATGGTTTTGTGTTGTCCTGAGTTCATATCCCACGAAAGGAGGAATCTATCTGCCTCTGGAACCTCTCCAATCCCACACTACAAGTGGTACCCATCATCTGTGGCCGGCTTTCAATTTGCCCTTCACCCGTGGCGAGTGTGGATCGCCTCCAGGCGAACAGGGAAGGAAGGTTAGGCAAAAAGCATTGCCCAGGCCTGACGGGGGTCTAATCTTGATTCAGCTTCTCTCTTGTTGCAGTCTCTGCCGTACGGGGCCAAAGCACCGGCCTACCTTCAAGGGGTGTTGTCAGGATCCTTGAGCTAATAAACACGAAGCTACGTCATGAAAGAGGGAGCGGGCGGCTTCCAGACCCAGTTTCTCAGCCGCAGATCCCGTAAGGCCACCCTCTTGGCTGTCTTGACTGCTCTCCGAGGATCCGGCAGGCTGTTCTCCCTGGGAGGAGAGGGGCCATCCCTGGGCCTGCTAGTATACGCTTTGTGATCAGGGTGTCTTTGAGGGAGGGCAGTCCTCCTTTGGGTTGTCTCCAGGCCAGCCCTGATCGAAACCCCCAGAAGCAGGGAAGGAGATTGTAGGTGGGGGGGGATGTTGCTTGTTACACACCCCCATGAGCCAAGCCCCCACTGCAGACCCAGCCCCCATTTGCACATCTGGCCTGGGCAAAGCACAATTCCCCCCCCAGACCAGAGGTGATGTTACCCCCCATTTCTAAACCACAACGTGCATTTTTACGCC